AGTTCTCTACAATTTGCATAAATATCTCAACCCAATCACTGCAGGCTGGAAGGCTGATATTGTTCTGGCCAGTAATGCCTCAATGTATAATAAAATCAATGGTAACAATGACATGATGCCAGACATACATTACATAACATCAATCAGATAATGTTTCCACTGATGCAGTGCACCTTGTCATTAACATTAATATTGGAGGGATCTTCAATTTAGTGAAACACCAAAGAAATATGATGTCAGGCTCCACGTACTTTACACAGTACCCACCTGGCCAGCGAGCCATGCTATCACACGGAGGCACGTGGTGGAAGGTATGCACGTCCAGAGAAGTAAGTCAAGCAATGATCTATTTCAAAATTGGGATATAACAGGAGAGAGCAGGTCCACTGGTGTAGCTGTTATAACTGGCGTGGCACAATGAGGTGCCAGGAGCAGGAGCACCAAGGGCCAGGGGCAGCAAAAAAAGTGATCAACCTGGCTGCAACTTCATACATGAAGGATATTAATCACAACTATGGCATTATAGTGAACACAACATCTTGATTATAAGCAATACCATCAACTTGTCAAAAAATAAAGCAAAGTTGATATTCTACATACTAGTGATCCAAATGCAGTTATAAACAGTTGGAGCCATGATTATAGGGAAATAAAGCAGAAGTGACCAGACAAGGAACCATCTCATTTGGGCCACTCTGCCTGGTTACAACAGCTCCACACAATACTGGTTTTACTGAAAAATCTGACAAAAAAAAATGATCGTTCTCAACTCCTACTGTAAACTCCTCTCCCTCTTCCATTTGCATACGGATCCACATCTGGCTACATGGGAATTGGCAGTGAAACATGACTTTAAAAACAAAACTTTAAAATACCTTTCACAGATCTAAAAGAAAAGAAAGATGAAAATAATTTGGGAAAACAAAAGATTGCTTAATTCCTATACCTCATTACATGAGGGATTTGTCAAAACCCAGAAGAGCTTATAATATTTAAAATAATTATAGGCAAGTTAAATGAACTAGATGGTGAGTTGAGTGGTTCTATATTGACGACTAGGGTCAAGACAGGGAGGCAGTGGTTGGTGCAAGTGAGTGATGGATACAGCATGCAGTGCATCCATGAGTGTTGAAGGTGTCCAAGGGAGCCACCAGGCAGGCAGAAGGGCAGGGGCATCCAGGCTCAGCCCAACCCCAAGCACCACACAAAAACAAAACTGGATATGGCCGACCTGGGGCCACCCATACCCACACGTGCTACCTTCCAGGTTATAGCTAATGCAGCACCTGGCAATATCAACAGTGCAGTTACACCCAAGGTATACAATCAAATCTGTTATATCACACTAAAAAAATCAATTAAGCAGTGAAGCTATTGTAAAGGCAGTACTGTATAGTATTAAGATCAAGCTTCAATAATTCCAAAATTAAATTTCCTATCCATGAAGAATAAGGGACACTGGTAGGGTGTACATGTGATAATGAAATGGGTAGCATGAGCAGGCTGGGTGAGAGCCAGGCAACAAGCACAAGACTGGCTCAGACAGTAAGGAAGGAGCAAGGCAAGGTCGTACTGGCTGACAGACAAGCGGCAACACAGAGAGAGATATGTAGGCCATGTTGCCACGTTTGAAAATCAGTCTTACGAGAGAAATCTGGCAACCATGTTTAGATAGTCAAAATAATCTTAGATTCAGATATATAAATATTTACAAAAATATTTTTTTTAATTAAAGAAGAGTAATGCCAAATAACATTTACAGAATAGAGATACCTATGTCTTGATCCCTATATATTCCAGGGCCTAAACTTTTTTCTTAGTGTGCATGTGTGTGTTATCCCTCGGTAAGTGGCACACATGGTCTGGTGTGGGGTTAAGTGTGGCAGTAGTAGGACAGGCGCCACCAACCACTTTGCCACTCATGCTTCCATCCAGAAATCAATACTATAATTGAGGATGACAGCTAGAGTGGCACTTGCATCAAGAATCAACCTGCCACAGTGCAATGTCATCCCTGCTATTATTTTTGCATAAGATTAGTGATGATGAAGTTGGTATTGAGAGCATTGGTTGAGTCACTCTGCTACATAGGTTACCTTCTGCATTTCCTCCAAACATGATAATGAGGCTGGACATGCACTTGTAGCAGAGGTTCAACCACCCAGACACTAATGTCACTCCCATCACCACAATTAATTAGATTGGACGGTGTAATAATGGTGACGAGTGATAATGTGAGTAGAACGGCACAAGGCGGCCAGGCCAATAATGTTTATGTAATGGCCAAAGTGTAGTGTGAATGTGGCACAGACAAGCACTCTGTGTGTGGCAGTCACGCCACTACCAGCGTGAGGACAGAAATGGCAGTATTGACAGTATATGTCCAAGCTGGTAGTTACTCGGTCCTCATAAAGCCACAGAGGAATCACCTGTCACAGCGTCGTGCATCATATGGGTAGCTCAAACCCCTACAAAGGCACAAGGGGCAATTAACTACAATAATACAAATGTCTAAATATAACGGTAATTACATAACCTTTACTGGTCAACATTTATGTATATCGTCTAGATATGTATCGCTCATCGAAGAGTGCCTCATACTGTCACTCTGAGCTCTGGCATGACTGAGGTGCAGTCTGCTGGTGCCACCTTGGTTTCTACTGCTACATAGTGACACATGGCAACTTGCGCACCTAGGTTCACACATACACACACAAGATTTAAAGGTAGCAATATAAGGCAGAAAGTGCAGCTGTACAGTATTTCCTTTAAGAGTGTGAGGGAGAAGCTGGGAATAAGAGAAGCAGGAGAGAATTTAACTAGAGAGAAAACAAAAAGAGAGAGAGGCAAAAAGACAAAAAAATAATATCACGCTGTAAGCTATGCACAGAAGTTACTCTATGGAAACCCATCAGTAATTATGCTTCTGCTAAAATGCACATATAATTGAGAATGCACAAAATAAGTTTAAAAATACATAAAAATGTACTCTGGTATAATATTTTGATACAAGAAAGCAAACTGCATGAAAAAAATCCCACTTAGTGTGTGTTGTAAGAAATTTTCTGCGAACTATTTCTGGCAATTGTATCAATTATGCTTGCTAACCTAGAAGACATATTATTTTTTTAAACTATTCATAATACATATCAAAGAAAGAAAGAAGTATAGACGTCACTGATATTGAAAGATTCCAGTAATCTATAGGATAGTGAAATATTTGATCTGAAAATACCTAATCCTGTGATTCTATGCAGTAGCTCAAGCACTTTAAGTTTTACCAAATGTAATAAGCAATTTGTGAATTTTGTCAAATTAAACCACTAGTATCATACAAAATAAAATGTGTTCAACACAAATATATACAAATAATTGACATACTATGGTAAAAAGATGTTGTTTACAGAAATAGGAAAGAAAGTCAACACCAAGCTTGGTGCACTTGTTGCAAGGTTACAGTAACAGATAGTTATGAAGTGTCTACATTCTCAAGTGGTAGGCAGGCCTCAACTAACACAGACTCAATGATGGCATGGGGGGGGGGGGAAACAGATTACCATATCAATTCATAACTAAATGGCTACACATGACAGTAGCCATAGCAGAGCAACACAAGACAAAGTGTGGTACTGTGATACATGGTATGGTGCCAGAGATAGGCAATGACACCACAACACAATCAGCTCACACTATAGGAGGTTATAGCCACAGCATCACAGTCATGTGCTAACACCATAAAGCACTCAGACAACTTCACTTGCACAATCATTAAAACCAAATATATTTCAGAAAATTATACGAAATCAGCACGAGCATCAAAACAGCTTTGTAAAATTTACACTAAACATTTTGATGGTACTTTAATTAGACTACTAAAACTATTTCTTGGTGAAAACTAGAGTACTAGCAGCAGAGCTTGTGGCAGCAGCAGACAGTGGGGTGTGTGCAGTTGTGTTGGTGGTGGGGGGGAGGGGAAGTTACAACCCGAGCGGGGCCCCTGCTGCATAAAACCTGCACACATACACTGCAGGTTATCGCGAATGGTGTATAATGACATTCCTGATACACAGGGTGTTGAGGGTACGTTGTAAGAGCCCCGGGCGGGTGGGGTGCGTGATAAAGGCAAGCGGCACCAGCAAGGTTTCAAATCCCTGGCTAGTGACATCTGCCTGAGACAGGTGATTCCCATAGTGGATAGCAATGAACAGAAGATATTAAGGTCAAGAGAGAAAAAGCAACGGAAATAAATTAATCTGTGAGCAAAATAGATAAGAAAACTATATTAACTACTTGAGTTTATGCAAATATGATCCTGAGTCCCCTTATCAACACTGCCAATTCCAACGGTTAGTTTAACAACTTAATTAAGTCATTTGCAAACTGTAAGTTAATGAAATTGTTTGTTGTATAGCAATATCAACCACTGATCCTAATTTGAACATGAAACAAAGGTGTGCATAAAAATAGTATTAGTTAATAGCTTGACTAGGAATCCTAAGATTAATATTCTGAAGTACCCCTCTGTGAAATGTGGGGCTAAACCCTCCTACAATTGAAATGTTTTGGTCAAGTTTAAAGGGTAAGCTGGGGTGTCTGAGGGAGGATGGGAGACAAAGACATGAGTGCCTCAGAGGCTACACTCTGACATGTTCAATACAAAACAGTTTATGTCAACTGAACAGACCTTTCCCTCATTAAGGCCTTATACAACAGGGGAGAGGAAATCCTTTATGGATAACTACCAAGATGTAGAGGAAAATGCAGAACAAATTAATCAAAAGAGGGAATCTTTCAATATCCCTAGCTTGTAAAAAGTTTATAATCTGTATACATAAGAAAAAAAAAAACCACATGTGCCATATATGAAACAAATGTTCGCAAAGGCTAACTAGCTTTTAAGACAAACATGTAAATGGCAAATCCGCAAAGCACCCTCGACACCACAGCTTCCCAACAAAATTAAATGTGCAGAAAGCTGTAGGCAAGGAAAAAAAACTTACCAAACCGACGAGGAGGAAGAAGACGAGAAATGTTCTTCCAAAGACAGTATGACAGTAGACATCACCATAACCCACAGTGGACATGGTGACAATGAGGAAGTACACACATGTCCAGTAAGAAAGGGGGTGAGCATTAGAGAAGTCCAGCGGGTCACCAGAGTTCTCCAACTGTAAATAAATGTAAGCTTACCAACTCAAATAAATTTAAGACCATTAGTTGGAGACCTATAATCTATAAATCTATAAATTAACAAATCCATATACAGTATATATATTACAATAAATATATAATGATGTACACTATATACAGTTTAATTATTTACATTAAATAAAATTATTAGTTTAAAAATCCTTTCAGTAATTTATAAATACTTTGTAATTCTAAACAGTTTCTAGAAATTTCATAGCAAGAAAATATGCTCCACATAAGTTATATTTCCTACTGTTCAATTCTCAACATTAAATTTGTATTTAATTAAACCAAACTGCAGCTGATGTAGCATAACTTAAGCTGTCTTAACATATTATCTATGAACATTATCTAACCTAACATTATCGACCCGCAGGGAACACCAGTGAAATTCCGTCCATTGTGTACAAGAGAGCCTCCCATGCCCTTGCCCCACCCATAGCACTACTGTTCAACAAATCTATAGAGTGTCACACCTTCCCTGATATCCTCAAAAAAGCAAGAGTAACGCCAGTCCATAAAGGAGGCAATCCGGCGGACATAAACAATTATAGACCAATATCAAATCTACCCATTCTATCAAAAATATTTGAAAAAATTATTTACAAACAGCTCTATTCCTACCTCGTAAAATTCGACATACTCAGCCCCTGCCAGTTTGGCTTCCGGTCCCAAAAGAGTACCAATGATGCAATCATTAGTCTAATTGACATTATCTACTCAGCCCTTGACAAAAATGAGTTTCCGATTGGACTCTTCATTGACCTAAGAAAAGCCTTTGATACTGTTAATCACAACTACCTCTTATTTAAACTCCAGCATTATGGAATCCGAGGCCTTGCCCTTGACTACATCCGATCCTATCTTAGTGACAGACACCAATATGTAACCATCAATGATACAACTTCTTCCACTCTACCAATTACCGTTGGAGTGCCACAGGGCAGCATCTTAGGACCTCTTCTATTTCTTATATATATAAACGATCTGCCTAATGTCTCTAATATTCTCAAACCTATATTGTTTGCTGACGATACTACCCTTATCTACTCAAACCTCAACCCACATACACTAAATAATGTTGTGAATAATGAATTAAAAAAAGTCCACTTATGGATGTCAACGAACAAACTAACATTAAACATCGAAAAGACTTACTACATCTTATTTGGAAACAAATCATCAAATGCAATTCAGCTACAGATAGACAACATTAACATCAGTAATAAAAATGATGGCAAGTTTCTTGGCCTATTCCTAGACAAGAGACTCAACTTCAGCACCCACATTCAACACATAACTAAGAAAGTCTCTAAGACAGTTGGTATACTCTCCAAAATCAGATATTATGTTCCTAACTCTGCTCTCCTCTCACTATATTATGCACTAATCTACCCCTATCTTAATTATGGTATCTGTGCATGGGGGTCTACCACTGCAAACCACCTAAGCCCATCATCACACAGCAAAAATCTGCTATCAGAATAATAACTAACTCTGCTTTCAGACAACACTCAGCTCCCTTGTTTAAATCTCTAAACTTGCTAAATATTAACTCCCTCCACACATTCTCTTGTGTCAACTACATTTACAAAACCCTGTTCTTAAATGCAAACCATGCTCTGAAACTCTCCCTGGACAGATGTAATAGGACCCATTATCACCACACCAGAAATAAATATCTCTTTGATATCCCCAGGGTCAAACTTAATCTGTGTAAACACTCTATGCAAATTAAGGGACCTAGTCTATGGAACTCACTCCCTAGTGAATTGAAAAACTGTAAAACTTTTGCCTTATTTAAAAGCAAAACCAAAAAGTACCTAACTTCATCTATTTAGTTTCCTACACTGAGCTTTAATTTGCTCTGTACCTAGTGGTACCCAATCTCCTAATTTTTATGTAATATCAAACAACCTTATCATTGTGTTCATTGCTGTCTTCTTTTATGTGCTAGCCATATGCTGTATTGTGACTACCAATTTTTGTCAACTACCATTCAAGCTGTCATTGCAATCAATCTTATATTGTTTCTGCTGTATTGTGCCTACCAATTTGTTGTCAACTACCATTTTAAGCTGTCATTGCAATCAATCATAGCTACCTATGTGCTTTAATATACTGTACCTATAATTTTCTCTCATCTTTTTTTTTTTTCATTCCATGTAATCTGTTATCATTTTTTTGTCTATAAATTTTGCAAGTATTTACCTCCTTAAAATTTTCTTAGATTAAGGACCTGCCCGAAACGCTGCGCGTGCTAGTGGCTTTACAAGACTGTAATTACCATAATTGTATCCTCACATTCCTTATGTACATTCTTGTATATGCATAAATAAATAAATAAATAAACCTAAGATCTACATCTAACCAATTATCATCATCTAATGGAATGGGTAAAACCTAATTTTATCATGTTAACAGTTGTGGTAACGTCTGAGAGTCTCCAGCAAACTAACATTGCCCATACAAGATACTTTATTTGAACATATGCAGCAGCAAATGTTGATTGACTGTTAGCCAGGACTAGGTTAGGTTAAATATGTTGACCAAACCACACACACTAGAAAATGAAGGGACAAAACATTTCGGTTCGTCCTGGACCATTCTCAAGTTGATTGTGGTCCAGGACGAACTGAAACGTCGTCATCCCTTCACTTTCTAGTGTGTGGTTTGGTCAACATATTTCAGCCACGTTATTGTGACTCCTCATCTGTATAGGTTAGGTTACTTTAGCCTGCATTACCTAGTTTCCCTAAATTAGGGTTAAGCGAGCTTGATATAGTACATGTAATGTACTATATCAAGGGAAATACATTCCCCAGTCTTGTAGACTTTAGTAAGACACCAGATCTAAAGTTATACTGCTTGTTGGCAAACTGTAGTTTTCTTAGTGAAAACTGTAGCTAGAGTTTGCAGGATAATTGTGAAAATGCTTAACTTGTATTACTTCACTTACAACAATTACTACTGTACTGCCATTTTTATACTATTCATTCATCTGATGATTTGATTCACAAATAAATATTAAATTTATTTATATTTAGTTTACATAGAAAGTAAAAAATTAATAAACCTTAAAAGAAAAGCAGCAAAGTATCTAATACGGGATTACAAACAGCTCAGTTTTAATTATTATACAACTTTAGAATGTCAAGTCTGAAGGTGTTCACTATTGCTCTAACACTGCTAACATTGTGGCTGTGAGGTCTTATCTCGTTGGCATGTTAACATTGCAGCATCATGAGGCTCAACATATACACCATCATCAGCTGTTTCTCCCATAAATATATTACCAAAATAATAATACTTGATGCTTGCAGTGAAGTGGAATGTCATTTTAGGTGTTATAAAACATAAAATTGATCAGATCCCAACAAAGTTAGGATGCTGAGGTTCACATAACTGCGTCCTGCAGGTAACACTCATCGCACGAACAAATTCTAAAACCAAAATGTAATTGATACTGTGTGAGCTATGAAATGTCAAAGAACACACACAAAAAACTAATCTAGTTATCTTCAGAAACAAGGAGAACAATATATCAGAGCAACAGATGTTTAGAATAAGTTACCATCTAACATATATAAAACAAATAATTCTTCAGTTGTAAAATGTCCTGAGAGTTTAGACTTCTAGAGGAGTTTAACAAAAAAAGTGAGGAAGCAAGTGTGAGCTGCAAATATGAGGATGTGTTGAGACACCTGGAAGGGAAGGGAACTATCAGGAGAAAGAGCCAAGCTATTTACGACTATATAGCACTCGGAATGGATGAGGATAAGGATTTGGGATGGGACTAGGGAAAGGAATGGTACACAACCATTTGGACATTCGGGGATTGAGCACCAACCTGCATGAAACGAGACCATCGCTTCATGCCAGCCTTATGTTCAAGCAGGAACAAAGTTAACAAGAGGCTGGTATAATAATTGTCAGTGTACAGGATATGCCTGTTGTTCAGCAGTGGTTCCATGAATGTCTTCACCATACAATCAGAAAACACGTTGATCTTGACCGTTTATGTTTACATCAAACTGGAATATATCATATCATCCACAATTCCAGTTTCACAATCACATATCACAAAAAATTTCAGTCCAAACCCATGTCGTTTTGATGGGATATATTGCTTGAACGCAAGACTTGTTTGCTTGAAGAGAACTAGCGATTCATCAATCACCACACACTGTCCTGGTGCCCTTATTTCCTGGGGTCATAGGGAAGTTGATAGTTGTTTTTTGTTCTCATTTTCTGGCTGGCTCTTTAGGCAGGGAGTTGGTGTCTGGTGTCGGCTTGGAGCTGGTAAGTCTTGGTGGGCTCCTGGAGTGCCTACGGGGTATGGTGAGTGGCTTGGTATTGCTCTGCTTAAGGTCAGTTTTTTCCACCAACTTGCGACATATAGCCTCCGGGATAAAGAATTGTTTCCCAGCTCAAAGGAATGACAGGGCACATAAAACCCTGTGCTGTTGCAGCCCCTAATCCTACGCAGCCATTGGCTATAGGCTTATGTTTATTCCCTCACCTGTTCCCCTGTTATTGCTGTTGTATAGCTGGCATAGGCAGACAGACAGACATTCTCATTCAGTTAGACAATCTCAGCAAGGATGGAGTGTCTGGCAGTCTCAGCCATTATTCCATATGTAATAGGCTGTCCAGGAAGTGGTCGAGTGGTATGGGGGATTGTAGGGTGTCTGGGGAGGAAATAGGAAGGGGTTTGGGTGAAGATGGGAAGGTGTCTTGGGTTAAATTGTAATATTCTTGTAATTTTAATTCTTGTATTCTTTAATTGTAATATTCTTGACTTTGAAACATGAGTGCAAACAAACAATGCTGGACAGATTTGAAAACAATTAATGGAGGCAAGTTGCATTTACCTGTTATTTTAAACTATAATGAACCTTAATGACACATTGGGCAAGGGAAAATTAGCCAGGTTAATTTAGTTAGAATACAAAAGAATTATTTTTAGTTCTCACTA